ATGTCTTTTCTTAGCAACACGTTTGTGTGAAATAACCATTTCTCCATTATATACACACATACGCAGTAAGGTCCCGTCTTCCTCTCTCTCTCTCTCTCTCTCTCTCTCTCTTGCATGCCTACATTATCTACTGTCAGAGGTTTTGCTTTCAGTTACCGCAGATGGATGTGTTCTTTCAACCCATGCAGGAAGAAACGTGAACTAGATATAAATTCCACAACCTTGTCCCATGATCTAAAATCTATAAAGGAGTTCATGAGCTTTAGTTCTCTTTGGTCTTTATAATCATTTATCCTTTAGAGGTTTTGAGATTGATATGGTTAAGCCCGGATTCCTTACTTTAATGACATCCCATGCAGTGTATCATTGAGTTGGAAACAATTTGGCACGTGTGGTTAGTCTGGTCACTATGCTGTGGTTGGGCCGTTATTTAAATTTGACAAATATAATTGTTTAATTTCTGGAGAAACGGAAGGTGATGAAACTGAAATAGACTTTGCCGCTTGATGTTTAGTTGTGGGTCATGTGCTTTAACCCTCTGTAACCTGGACGGTGGAGCAGTTTTTGCATCCGCATAAAAAATAGATAAGTCGTCTGAAGAAACAGGATTTTGAGTTGAACAATCACTCATCTAGTGCTGGCCATACACTGTATTTTCAGCCAACTCACGGGATCTGAACCAAACTCTTACAGTGTGTGGCCCTGCCAACTTGACAAAAGTAGCATACTCAGTTGCGTTTTGTCAAAGAAGCCGCGCTGAAGATTCCCCGAAGAACAGTAACTGCCGTCAATCAGCTCCAGTCATCGTTTGGGTAGTCTGACAGCAGCGGATGGCAGCTGTCGGGATACAATAGCTGCAGTGGGAGATGTATCCATCCTTGCTGTTTACAGTGGATGAAGGAGCCTGTATGATTTTTTTCATTCAGTCCATTGACTGAGCAAAATAAATAAAAAAAAGCGTGGAAGGAGGAATCTGTTCTATTTTTTTAGTTCAGTCCGCAGGTTGAATGAAAATAAATAGACCCGCCTATACTCTACTTGAGCTTTTGCATACAAAAGGTCTTTCAAAAGTCTAACGAGCTGTCTTATGTCTATGGGACAGGCTGGCATAGTTTGTAGTCTTTTGGCAATCAGTTTGCGCTCTGTTTGCTTGTGAGCCGAACAGCTGACACATGATGGTCATGGTTTACACAGAGCTTAACATTTGGCTGGAATTTTAAAGTGACACTGAAGTCAAGAGTTAAATCTTAAAAATGCATTCATGTACCTTAACTATCAGTAAAAATGTATCTTATTTGTGTATCACTCGGCTGTAGAACCTCAAATCATCTCGGAATTGGTGCTGACACTGTCCTTCCTTCTGGAGGGGGGCTACTTTTGTTCCCCATGGACCCTGTGTGTGTTGTAGTCACCGCTCCATGCTCGCTTCCGTGATGGACTACAATCTCATGTTTAGTTTACTCATTTGTATTGAGATTGTAATCCATCACGGGAGTGAGCTTGGAGTGGTGACTACTTTACAACACACACAGGGACCATGGGGAACAAAAGTAGCCACCCTCCAGAAGGAAGGACAGTGTCAGCACCAATTCAGAGATGATTTTAGATTCTACAGCCGAGTGATACACAAATGAGATATATTTTTATTAATAGTTAGGGTACTTGAATGCATTTTTAACATTTAACACCTGATTTTAGTGTCACTTTAAGCTTTTACATACAAAAGTCATCTTCCAAAAGTCTAACAAGCTGTCTTATGTCTGTGGGACAGGCTGGCATAGTTTGTAGTCTTTTGGCAATCAGTTTGCGCTCTGTTTGCTTGTGAGCAGAACAGCTGACACATGATGGTCATGGTTTACACAGAACTTAACATTTGGCTGGAATGTGAAGGGTCCGGCCAATTAAATTGGTGGATGTTTCTGGGCTCAACTGGTTACAGGACTCCAGTGACAATAACTCTGATGCGTTTCTGAAGGTTCTGATCGTACATTGTACGATTTCCGTTAAATTTTTCATTTCTGGCACGGACCCTCATTGGATTATACCCAGACTTCCCCATCAAGCGTAGTCAAATGTCGATTTTGGAAATCGTTCTTTAGCCATACTAACCAACCAATTTTTGACGATCTGCGGAAATCATTTCCTTTTGCGCATTTACTGTGTTCTTGCTGAGATTTGTGACAACCGAAAACCCCACTGATTCATCAATTTGTTTTGCGTTCGGTCAGAGAAACATTTTCCAGCCTGACCGATGGAAAAATTTTGATCATGATATCAAAAAGAAAAATCGGTGATGTACCATCAACTGTTCGATTTTCTGACCACGGAGTCTCATTCTCATCCTGCAGCGTTCCCTGTGGTGTACCATAAGTTAGTACAAGGCTCTATTGTAATGGCTAGAGCTGGTGGGTGAACCTAGGATCTTATCATGTAATTTAAGAAGGCAGCTGATTGATATCTGTTTGGCCCTGAAATATTAATTTATTGTTTTAAAGACCTTTTAGGGGTACGTGAGACCAGTTTATTAAATGCCATGTGCATTCAGTTGATTTTGCAACTGTTGTTTTAAATGCTGTCCAGTGTTTGTGTGATCTGTAGTGACCTTCAAGCCAAGAATTCCCTGCAATAATTGAGTTAATCATTGGTGAGTGTATCTACTAGGTGCATTAGTTGTTAGCGTTTTATGACCTTTGACAAACTAGGAAGCCCTAATATTAAGAGTAACCCCCCTTGGTAAATCAGGCTCCTCTGCTACACCCGGCCATTATCTTTACGTGTATCAAAACCCACAAACAAAAATGTAATATATTTCAGTTTACTACTGGTGTCAAAGCTGCAGTATTTCTTGTTTTTTATTTATTTTTGTTTGTCTTTACACCCTTTCATCACTATACTGCATCTATGGAGGAGCAGCATTGTGACCCTGAGACAGGACTGCAGAACACCCGTACCTCTTATGTCCATAACAGAGGAAAGGTGTTCTGTGTTCCACAGAGGCTGTTAACACTGCGTAAAGTGATATTAAACAAGGGATGCACCAATACCGATACTAGTGATAATACTTGTACTCGCCCAAATGCTCTGATACTTACCTCCGATACCGGAACTTTTTATCAGAGGGACATCCCCTCTGACCAACAGTGCCGAGGAAGCATGGAGCCAGGCCTCCTTTCCAATCAGGAAGCTGGACGGTGTGTTATGACCCGCCTCCCAGCTTCCTGATTTGGCTAGGAAGCCGGCTTCACTTGTTGCTAGGCAGCCTGGCTTCCTAACCAATCAGGAAGCCAGGTGGCATGTCATGACTTGCGTCCCAGCTTCCTGATTGGTCAGGAAGCCAAGCTACCTAGCAACAAGTGATGCCGGCTTCCTAGCCCATCAGAAAGCCGGGAGACAGGTCATGGCGTGCCGCCCATCTTCACTTCCTGTTAGGCAGCCTGGCTTACTGACCAATCAGGAAGCTGGATAGCACCTCATGACTCGCCGCCCTGCTTCCTGATTGGTCGGGAAGCCAGGCAGCCTCGGCAAGTGAAGCCAGTGTTCTTTCGCTAGAACATCGGCTTCACGGGCAATCAGGAAGCCGGGTGATGGGTCATGATCCGCCATTCGACTTCCTGATAATCTGGGCACACAGCACTGGTACTCGGCATTCTGCGAGTATTGAAAAAAAAACCGGTGTTGGTGCATCCCTATATTAAACCTTAATTTTTTTATTTATTTATTGGGGCCAGACTTACTTTAACCACTTGCTGACCGGGGTGTTTACACCCCCTTTTTTGTCAGGCCATTTTTCAGTATTCAGTGCTGCATTACTTTGACTGACATTTTTTCCTTAATGCAACGCTGTACTAATATGAATTTTATACCATTTTTTGGGGACAGATAGAGCTTTCTTATGGTGGTATTTAATCACCACTGGGGTTTTTGTTTTTTATTACATTAAGGAAAAAATAACTAAACATTATGTTATATAATTATTATTACCCAATTTTTTGGTAACGTATAAAAGACGGGGTCACGTCGGGTAAATAGACACCAAACATGTCAAGCTTTAAAATTGCACGCACCTGCAAAATCGCAAAAAACTACCATACCCAAAATTTACCATGGGCGACGCTTTAAAAGCTTTTAGCGTTTAGTGTTATCAGTAATTAATGGCCCTAAAATGTATTGCTCTCACTGCGATGTTCGCAGTGATATGTAACATGTGCGGCGTAATGGGCGCAATCGTCGTTTACGCACTTGACGCATGTTTGCGTGTATGTATGGGTCGGGGATTTTTTAAAAAATTGTGTTTTTAAAAAAATTATTTTTCATGTGTAACTTTAATTTTGTTTTACTTTTTTTTCCCCCACTTAACTTTATTGTTATCACATAGTGGGCTAAGAAACCCCCTATGTAATAGCAAAGAGATGTGACAGGTCCTCTTTATGCAGACATCAGGGGTCTCCAAGACCCCTAATGTCACCTAGGGACCCCCAAAGAAGCAGATGACGCAGAGATCTACTCCATCAACTTCTCTCCAGCTTCTGAAGCTGGAGAGTGACACAAGAACTTTACTTACGCATTCTGACATGTTTGCAGGCATCGCTGACTGTTTTTAAATTTGGCTAGGTTGCCGCTCGCATGCCACTAGTGGGAGTGGCTGACAGGACATTTAAATATGCCTGCTCAGATCTTGGAAGGTCCCGGACGGCTGGGAGGTGGTTAAAAAACTTTTTTTTATTCTTTAATTTTTTTAAATTTCCTCCTTCTCTACTGGTATCCAACTCGCTAGCCTCCCCCCTTACATGGGTGCCTCCATCATCATCATCACCAAAGGTGTTTCAGGAAGCAAAGCTTTTGCAAAAGTTTGTTGTGCAGTGTAATTTGTCAGGTAGTTTATATCTCAGGAGCAATGCAAAAAAACAACATTAGGATGTCTGATGTCAATTGTGAGAAGATGGGTGGTGTAAACAAGTATTTCTACAGTATATTCAAGCTCTCTTTTTACACTCGAACAGGGAGGACGGTGAGCTGGAAGAGGGAGAGCTTGAAGATGATGGAGGTGAAGATGCTAGCCGTGATGTGGCTGAGCCAGAAGCTCCACGAGAGAAGACCGAAAAACACCACAGCGAGTCAGAAGATGAAAAATCACATCGCAAGATGAAGAGGAAACGTAGGAAGGAGAAAGACAAAAAGAGAGCTAAAAAGAAAAGAAGATCAAAGCATAAGGTATTTACAGAACCACTAAGAGGGGAGTCAAAAGGACAAGGAAGGGGCGATTTACTAAAATGGGAGCAAACAGAATCTGGAGCAGCTGTGCATATTAACCAATCAGCTTGTGTCTTCAGGTTGTTCAGTTAAGCTTTGGAAATGAAAGCTAGAAGCTGATTGGTTGCCCTGCGCCTTATTAAATTCCTTTTGAGATGTTTTGTCTAGAGGCAAAACTGCTCTTACTTTCTGCTGCAGTTCAGTAACTTCCCTACCCACATGCAGCCAAAGTTTCCCCTAGATCAGGGCTCAAAATTTCAAGTCCTGAGCTACTAGCCAGGCCTTAAAGAGTTACTTGCCGCCAGTTGCCCCACCTAACCCTTACCCAGCCCCGGCCTTAACTCCGCCCCTAAACACACCCTCTTAAATAATCTTATGATAATCCTTATCTTATGATAGTTGCTGCTTGTAAACGGCAGATTAGGGATTCCTGACACAGGAATCTAATCACACATGAAATATACTGTAGGTGTGAATAGGGCCTAATATACACATACACTAAAAGTGTCCTTACACCTGCCGATTATCGTACGATAGTTGTGGGTGATGGTTGGTGGCGTGGTCGGAAGACGAATGCCGCATGGGCCGGTGTTCACGCACACTGCCCGCTCAGCACTGCAATCATCATCACCTCCGACACAGATGCAGACCGTGGAGCTGCTCCCGCAAGTCAGGTACGCGGTCTGCGACCGTGTGCCTGACATGTCAGCTGGGTGCGGGCCACATAGTACCGGCTCGCGGGCCGGAGTTGGCCTGCGGTCCGGTACTTGGAGACCCAAATTTCCACTTTATTTTTACTTGCCAAATGCGAGCAGGCGAGTGGAAGTTTTGAGCCCTGCCCTAGATAACTAGCAGTAGCCCTAGATCCAGTCAGAAGTATCACTTAGCTGAGAGTACATTTACCTCTGGTTGTCAAACTTTTCTATAGAAATGAGCTTTGTGATGCTAAACTGGCATTCCTACATAGCCTACTGTATGGTTCTATGAGAGAGTACTCCTTATTTTTGCTGCCTTTAATTCTGACAATTGTACTGACATTTTTATTTGTACCGACATATATTTAAAAATATATGATGGAGCCAAAGATCAGGCTGTACTGTCTCTTCAGATGGCCTATAGTGCTTTGGGGATCCTTCATCACACACCTTACTTTTTATAATTTATAGCGCCATGCATCATCCAGTGAAGATTTCTCTGACTATAGTGATGATTCAGACTTCAGTCCCAGTGAGAAGAGTCACCGAAAATACCGCGAGTACAGCCCATCATACCCTCCGGTAAGTGGCCAAAATATGTGAGCGCTGTCTAATCATCTGCTAAGTACCTGGACCTTTTCTCTAACAGAGTACCTAACGTAAACCTTTTTTAAGAATATTTTTTTTTTCTTGGTGAATTGTTTTGGTGAATTGTAGAATTTATAATTGTGTTCAATTTAGTTTAATTTATTGCATAGACTCTACATAAGTGTGTGACGTGCGGGGTTCCACCCACTACCAAGGTGTGGGCTGTCCAAGACCTCATTAGGTTGGTTAATCACCTCTAGAATTGCAGTGATTTGAGCTGCCAGCTTACACTGAACCTGTGGGCAGGCTGTGGACAGTCAAGCATTTACATATTCTCAGCAAACAGTAAATGAGCGTTGTAACTGGCCCTTACGGGCCTCTGCAGTAGCAGGAACTCTGCAGTATTTCATCCTCAAAGTTTGCAAGAGAAGCAGTGAAGTTGTATAAGTGGGGTCTCAGCTCTTTGCTCTGTTTACTTTATTCTGGGTTCACTCCTGGGCGTACCATAGGCGCGTTTTTTCTGCTCGTTTTTAGCACGTTTTTTCGTTCAGTGAAACGCGCGTTCGACGCTCGTTTTTAAACCTCCCTGGCGGTATAAAAACTATCGCAAGGGACGGAACCCGGAAGTCGGCAGCGGCCGGAGGACACAGCGGGGATCGCGGACAAGGTAAGTACTACGCTGTATTCCCGAGTGTGGCTCCGGGTTACCGTTTTGTTAACCCCGAGCCACACTCGGATACGCGTGGAAAAACGCCCCAAAGAAGCTCCTGTACTTGTTTGGGCGTAGGGCGTTTTTCAGCGCGTTTCCACGGGCTGAAATACGCCCAGGTGGGAACCATCCTCATAGGAAATTATGGGATTTCACTGTTTGAGCGTTTTTCAGCGCTTCAATCAGCGCTGAAAAACGCCCAGGTGTGAACCAGCACTTAGAGAGCAAAAACCTGCAAGACTGCCGGGGAAGGGGGTTGCAGGGTTAGTTGGTGAAAGTGCTTGTGGTGTGAACTTTGAGGATGAATTGCTCCACAGTGCCTGCAGCTACAGAGGTCTGCGAGCGCCTGTTATTAAGATCATTTACTGCTTGTTAAGATCATGAAAATTTTTGAAATGTCTTTTAGCCTGGCCATGGTTGAACTTTAACCCGGTAATGCATAATTTCTTTGTCCTGTCCTGTCTCTAGGGGAATTTTTCATAAACGATTCAGTGGTGGAATCAGAGAGGTCAGTGGGGTGGTAGATCATCCCTGTGAGGTCATGGACACATAGATAGCAATAGAGCCAACATAAGCGATTTAACAATCCCTTCCACACAATTGAAAGCATTTATTTTTAGGAAGGTTTGATCCTTAAAATATTTGGCAATATAATGCATTATTTAATTTAACAAACATTAATTTACAGTCTATTATTTTTACTTCCAGCCACACTCGCAGTACCCTCCTCCACCGCCTCCTAAGAAGGGCTACTCCAAAATGGATAACAAGAACTACATGTACGAGGAATATGAGAACGATCAGTATGTGGATTACGAAGGTGACGAGGGAGATGAAATAGCCCCAGAGGATTATGATGACTTTGCCAAGGAACTGAACCAATACCGAAGGGCCAAAGAGGGCAGCCATCGTGGCAGGGGTAAGGATTTAATATAGCCATGGTCTCTGCAATGGTATCCAGTAAACTACCCAGACTCCTTTTATGATGTTTACTTCTTGTTAATGTATAGTCCTAGTGCCATGTAAAAACTATGTTAAAGTAAGTGGGAAAATGTAGATTATTGTGGAACAAAAACGCAGCATGCGCTAGAATTTTTCCGAACAGGATTAATTTGCAAACATCATTGCTTTTAAATTATCTTGTATTTTCCTGTTCATCCCATCCCAGGCAGAATGGGATGACCTTTTTCACTGACATTTTATGGCATCCTTATGGTGCATAGCGTGTAATATCCTGTCAGGTGTTGTTCTGAAGGCTTCTGTTACGGTCGTCAGGTTCAATGGACTTGTCACTTATCAGTTCATTTTAGGGGTAAATGTGTTTTTCTACTTTTCACCAGGCATGCACACATCCCACGAGCCCGGTTGTTATTGTTGTGATCTAGTTGCAAGCTATATAGTGGTAATACACTAGCTTGCATTATGCCAACAGTACCAGCTTTGCTGCTCAACATGAAAACTTGCTGCCCTGTTGACCCTAACTTGGCAGTGTTTAATATTATTCTTCCACTCCTCCCTGGTCTGATCCTAATCCTGTCACCTAACCCTAGTCTACCTTCAGCTCTAGCCTAACCTGACCTGTTGCTTAATATAATACTACAATGAACTTGTCCTTTGGCCCAGTCCTAGTACTTTGTTTATGATAAGATGTCCCCCTAACCTCCTGTCCATGTGAAGTTAATAAAATGCGGTAATTCTCAAATTGGCTAGGTAGCCATTATATTTTAGTTACTTGTGCAACCTTCCTTATTTGTTTCTTTGGTGATCAATGAACACATTTTCATTGGTTCATTGAAAGATCTTTTTGCCTTTTATAACTGGTGGTCTTGTGGGTGTACCATGATGTTTTCTACTGAGGTATGAATCTGGTGTTCTGAAGGCTTCTGTTACGGTCGTCAGGTACAATGGACTTGTCACTCATCGGTTCATTTTAGGGATAAATGTGTTTTTCTACTTTTCACCAGGCATGCAAAAATCCCACAAGCCCGTTTTTGTATTTTTAGGGAACTTCAATTTTCTGGTTCAGTTGAGCCCAAACTGGCCATTTGACACGTCTGGCGTTTGCCAGAGGGGCGGGTGCAAGGCTTAATACATTGTTCAGCCAACTTTACCATTATATATCAATGTAACAGCAAATGTCACTATAAGCTATACACATTCTGCAGTTCGCAACAGTATTGTACTACTGTTGGAAATGGTGCTATGTAAAAATCGCTTTAAGTCTGAACTCTGGGCATAAAAACATTAATTTAAATATATGCTTTATTAGTTGTAAGGGCTATAGGTCCACTTTGTGGTCCACAAATGCCTTTTCAAACCCAATTAGTGCATTGTAAAAGTAGCAGTGACGTTATCACTGTTCTACAAGTACCCTGAGCAGAGCTGTGCGAGGGACCCAGAAGGTTCACCTAATACAGGCTGCTGGCAGAAAACTACAGGTTGGGTGGATACAAGACCAGTCACCCTACACAAAGAGAGAGAGAGCAGCAGTGACAGGTCTGTATTACAGGAAACGCCATCACAGAAGCAAAATGCAGGCTTGTTC